AAGCAATGTATATCAGAATGAAATTGAAAAATCTTCAGAAATGATTGAAACAGAAATAATGAAATCATCGATAGTCAAAGATGAAAAAGAACAGATAAAAGAGGAACCTTTAATAGTCAAAGAAACAGAATCAGCAAAAGAAGAACCAACGGAAATCAAAATATTTGAAACAGAGCCATCGATAGTCAAAGAAATAGAACCAGTGGAAAATGAATCATCGAATATTGAAATAAAAGAAACACAACCATCCATAGTCAAAGAAGAAGAATCAGTAAAAGAAGAACCAGTGAAAGACGAAACATCGAAAATCGTAGAAAAAGAAGTAGTGAAAGAGAAACCAACGATAATCGAAGAAAAAGAGGCAGTGAAAGAGGAACCAACGATAGTCAAAGAAACAGAATCAGTAAAAGACGAACCATCAATGGTTGAAGAAACAGATTCAGTGAAAGAGGAAGCATCGATAATCGAGATACCAGAAGCAGAATCATCGATAGTGAGAGAAACAGCAACAGTAAAAGATGAACCATCGATAGTCAAAGATACAGGAAAAATGAAAGACGAGCCTTCAATTTTAAAAGAAGAACCATCTGAAGAAAAACGATCCAAAATCAAATTTCCAGAGGAGCCATTGATAGTCAAAGAAACGGAATCAGTTAAAGTGGAACCATCGATTCACAAAGAAATGGAATCGACTGAAGAAGATCTCTCGATAGTCAAAGAAGCGGAACCAGTGAAAGATGAAACATCGAAAATCAAAGAAAATGAAGTCGTTAAAGAAGAACCAATGATAATCGAAGAAAAAGAATCAATAAAAGACGAACCAACAATAGTCAAAGAAACAGAATCAGTAAAAGACGAACCAACGATAGTGAAAGAAGAGAAAATGATAGTCAAAGAAAAGGAAATAGTTAAATCAGAACCATCGATTCTCAAAGAAATTGAATCGACTGAAGAAGATCTCTCGATAGTCAAAGAAGCAGAACCAATGAAAGATGAGAGATCGATAGTCAAGGAAACAGAATCAGTAAAAGACGAATCATCGATTGTAAAGGATCAGCCATCGATAGTCAAAGAAATAGAACCAGTGAAAGACGAACCAACAAACATCGAAGTTCCAGAAATATCAGAAATAAAACCATCGATAGTTGAAGAAAAAGAAACAGTAAAAGAGGAAGTATCAATAGTCAAAGAAACAGAACCAGTAAAAGATGAATCATCGAAAATCGAAATACCAGAAACAAAACCAACGATAGTCAAAGAAAAAGAATCAGTGGAAAGCGAACCATCGAAAATCGAAGAAAAAGAATCAGTAAAAGACGAACCAACGATAGTCAAAGAAACAGAATCAGTAAAAGACGAACCAACGATAGTCAAAGAAACAGAATCAGTAAAGGACGAACCAACGATAGTCAAAGAAAAAGAATTGAAAGACGTACCATCGAAAATTGAAATACCAGAAACAGAACCAATTAAAGATGAAACATCGATAATCAAAGAAATCAAACCAGTTAAAGATGAATCAACAAAAATCGAAGAAAAAGAGCCAGTAAAACAGGAATCATCGAAAATCAAAATACCAGAAACAGAATCAGTGAAAAATGAAACATCGAAAATCGGAATACCAGAAATAGAACCAGTTAAAGATGAATCAACAAAAATCGAAGAAAATGAAACATTGAAAGAGGAATCATCGATAGTCAAAGAAACGGATCCAGTAAAAAAGGAACTATCAATTGTCAAAGAAAATGAACCAACGATAGTCAAAGAAATAGAATCTGTGGAAAACGAACCATCGAAAGTCGAAGAAAAAGAAGCAGTCGCAGAGGAAGTTTCGAAAATCGTAATACCAGAAACAGAATCAGTAAAAGACGAACCAACGATAGTCAAAGAAAAAGAAGCTGTGAAAGAGGAAGCATCTAAAATCAAAATACCAGAAACAGAATCATCGATAATAAAAGAGACAGAACAACAAGTGAAAAAAGAAGAAGTACCTTCGATAGTTCCAGAAGTAGAACCATCGAAAATCGATGTTCCAAAAACAGAACCATTAAAAATTTCAGAAACCGAATCATCTATAATCAAAGAAACAGAACAAGTAAAGATGAAAATCGATGATTCATTTCAAACAGAACAAGAAACAAGTATTGAAGATGCCATACCAATAACAATGATAACAGCTGATGATAAAGAAGCCAATACAATACAATGGATATTACAACATGCTCAATTAACCACTGATGATCATCACGATGATCACGATGATGATGAATTTACGATGCGACATAAAAGTAAACAAACCATTTTCATTGAAAAAGATCCGATTGAAACAACAGTGACAAAATCATTTATTTCTGAATCAAAAACGAATGAGGAAAAAATAAAAGAATCCATAAAAGATATTAGCCAAATTTCAACTACTGCAGAAGATTTTCATACAAAAGCACAAAAACATTTAGATAGTCAATTAAAACCAGTTATAAAACAAAGAATGGATAATATTTTTTCAGAAACAATAACAACAACATCGAATGAATATTTAGAAAGTAAAAATACATCAAAAGTAATTGAAAATCTACAACAACAATGTTATAATGTTATTGGACAAACAAATCAACTATTATTTGATATGGATGAAAAAATTATTGAAGTTAATAATTGTCATCAACAATCATTAGCTGCAACTAATGTTGATATTTTTACAAATCAATCAACAACATTGGATACTGGTAAGTTATCATTGGAAAAATTACCTGTCAAATAAACGACTAATGAATGCCATTTGAATGTTATTTTTTTTCTTCGATGCTTTAGCTGATACAACAACAACCAAAAGTTTTGCTGATACAATTTCCATAACAAGTCAATCAAGTATGATTGATAATAATAATAAAGAAGAATCGGTGATCACTTCGCAGCCAGAAAAGATTGAAAATAAAGAATCGACAAAAATGGAAACTATTTCACAACAACCACCAGAAGAAGAAGAAGAATCATTTGATTCAAAAAACCTTGTAACAAAAATCGAATCAACAAAGACAATGACCGAAATTCCATTTGCTGTTGCTGCTGCTGCTGATTCCAGTGAAAAAGTTTCATCATTCGATGATCAACAATCGACCGAATTTGATGAGAAACATATTGATGATAATAGTAGCAATAGTAATAGTAATAATCGAATGGAACGAACACAAATGGTAATCAATCGTTTTGATTCAAAATCATTGATTGATGATCAATTAAAACAACAAGAATGGGAAACAGCAAAAATTTATGAATCGCAAATATGTGTTAATGTTGGTCAAACAATCGCAACAGCAACAACCGATCGTAATAATAATCAAATCGATGATGATGATGATGATGATGAAATTGTGAAGAAAAAATTTTCAAAAATCTCTATTTTACCAATGCAATCAGTAGCTACTACAAGTTCAACATCAACAATAACAACAACATCCAAGCATGATTTAACTACTGGCCATGTTTCAGGTAAGCTGATAATTTATTCAGTTTTACAAAGAAAATTCTAATAATAATATTTTTTTCCCCTCATAATCATTGCATTATAATTTCAGACAAACAAATAAGCGAGCAAACAAGCAAAATATTTTCATCGGATGATTCTAGATTGAAAAAATCATTCAATATCAGTGAATTACCGAATTTATCAACGTTGGAAAGTCCTAATATAATTAGTACATTTATGGCAAGTAGTAAAATGACCGAAAAATTAGAGCCTGTAAAAGCAACCGAAAATATAATGTTAATAACCGAACCATATGAACAAAATCCATCAACTTCGGATATATTTTCAACTAAACAAATTAGGATGATGATTAATCCATCAATGACAGAATTATTAAAGGATAATGATGATGATGATGATGATCAACAAAAAATTAGTAAAGAAATGTCAATTAGGTCAACAGTTACTACTACTACTGCAAGTAGTCATAGTAGTAGCGATGATGGTGCAAATCGTCGGTTAATTGTTACCGAACAGCAACAATTACCCGAAGTTATTTATACAATGACTAAAAAAACGACAACAAAAAAACAATTTGATGTTGATCGAGATTGGGATGAACCAATGGCATTACCAACACCACAACCACCACCAATTAGTTCATCACCAATTAGTTCATCATCACAATCATATTATCATCATCAAAGTCAAAATAGTCGAAATAATAATGCTACAATGATGATGGGAAGAAATCGTTTTTCCGATCAAACAACAACAACAACATCAACAATAAATCCAGTTTATGTTGAATTAGCCTATGTACCTGGACATGGAAAACGTGGTTATTGTGATGAAGAATTTTTTAAAAAAATACGTGCACGTTATTATGTATTTTCCGGTGTACAACCATCAAGACAAATATTAGATTCATTATTGAATGGTGTTAAAACATGGTTAACAGTAGAAGAAAAAATTAATAATGATAATAATCAAAATCAAAATCAATCAACAACCATCAATGTAACAATTATACCAACATATGAATCAGAAACAATGTTATGTTGGTATGCTGATAATAAACAACAATTAGAAATGCTTGGTATTGAAATTGTTTCAGCTGCAAATCGTTGTTGGTTATCATTAGATCAGATTGATTTACAACAACAACAACAACAACAACAACAATCATCATCATCAAATCAACAACAACAATCATCAAATAATCAACAACAACAATTATCGGATGATATTTGTTTTGCATATAAAATTGAATTTTAAACTAAACTAAAATGATGTTTTCTTTTTCCTTTTAAAATTAGATTAGTTCAAAATTCTAGTGTTTTTCTTTCTTTTTTTTGAATCATTCCAGCACACAAACACAAGCAAACAAAAATTTTTGAATTTTTTTTTTCAAATCAATATTTATTTGAAATGGATATAGAAAAAAGAAAAAAGTTGAAAATAAAATTTTCCTCGTAAAAAAACAATCAATGGTTTTGTTCCTGTGTTTTTCTGTGTTCTTTGTGATTTTCTCTTCATTCTAGGGGCCTTGTTTTTTCATTTTTTCCATTTGATCAAAATGTAATTGTTTTTCTAAACTTGATGCTTTACCAAGAATAGTTGCCGTTGGTGATGGTGGACGTACAGCAAAATTTTTCTGATCATTATATTCATCAATATAAGGTTTTACAATACGCCATATTTTTTGTTGTTGTAATAAATCTGTAACAGCATTTATATCAGTATTCATTATACGATCTTTATCCCATGGTCTGAATTTAAAAATTTTGAAAAAATTTGAAAAAATGGATCGAAAATTAAATAAAAATTAACACATACTTAACTTCACGACGAACAATTTGATAAACAGCTTCTAATGGTTTTGTTGTACGTAATGGTCGTAAAAATTCTATTGCTTGACATGCAGCCAATAGTTCAATAGCAATAATACGTTGAACATTTTCAATTACTTGTAATACTTTTCTGGCTGAAAATCCACCCATTGATACATGATCTTCTTGTCCGGCTGATGTTGATAATGAATCAACTGATGCTGGATGACAAAGTACTTTGTTTTCGGAAACTAAAATCAATATAAAAAACAACAAAAAATTCAATTCAAATTTCAAATCAAAATTTATCAATTTTTTTGTTTTTACCAAGTGCTGCTGCTGTACAATGAGCAATCATAAAACCAGAATTAAGACCACCATTTTTAACAAGAAATGCCGGTAAACCAGATTGTGCTGGATTAACTAAACGTTCAATACGTCTTTCACTCATACTACCTAATTCATGTACAGCAATTGCTAAATAATCCAATGCTTTTGCTGGATATTCACCATGAAAATTACCCGATGAAATAATTTCTGATCGTTCAACAAATACCAATGGATTATCGGTTGCTGAATTCATTTCAGTTGTTATAATTTTACGTACAAAATCAATTGTATCATAAACAACACCATGTACTTGTGGACAACATCTTAATGTATATGCATCTTGTACTCTATTACAAAATCTATGTGATTCAGCAATCTGTGATGGAAATATTGCTGAATTTAATATTGAACGAATTCTTTTTGCAACAGCAGCTTGTCCTGGATGTGGACGAATTTTTTGTATATCCGGATCAAATGCACGTGTTGTACCTTTTAATACTTCTAATGTCATACCAGCAACAATATCAGCTTGTCGTATTAAAAATGATGATTGTTCAACAGCTTCAGCACCTAATGATGTTATTAATTGTGTACCATTTATTAATGCTAATGCTTCTTTTGGTTTTAAATTCAGTGGTTTAAGATTATGTGATTCAAGTACATATTTTGCATCAGACCAACCACTTTCAGGTGACCACATTTTACCTTCACCAATCAATCCTAATGCTAAATGTGCTAATGGTGCTAAATCACCTGATGCACCAACAGTACCTTTTTCTGGTACCCATGATAAACATGATTCATTAAATGCATCGATTAATTGTTGTAATGTTTCTAATGATATTCCTGAATAACCTTTTGCCAATATATTTATACGTAATGCTAATAACATTCTTGTACGAAATGGTGATAATGGATTACCAACACCAGCCGAATGGCTACGTATTAAATTATATTGTAATTCAATTAAATTTTCACCACTAATCAATGTTGTTGCAAATTTTCCAAAACCAGTATTAACACCATAAACAACTTTATTTTCACGTAATATTCGTTCTAACATATCACGACAGGCTTTAATTTTTTCTTGTGAATCTGGTGCAAGCTATATATATTGAATAGATAATGTTAAATTCAAATTTTAAAAAAATCAATCAATCAATCAATTACCTTAATTTTATAATAACCTTGTCCAAGATTAAGTAAATCATCGGTTGATAATTGATTACCATTTAAATTAATATATTCAAATGTTTTTTGTTTGATTTGCATTTCTGAACTTGCTTTTTCCGGTATATAATGTACTTCAAGATTACCAGTAACCATTGTTTTTTTATCACTTTCAAGAACTTTTATAAATTTTTTTGTAAATTAAAAAATTATAAACAACAACAACAATAATAATAATAATTTTAAAACATACCAATACAAACAAAATCATTATCATCTAAAACATCGGCAACAAAATCTTCTGGATCTAATATTGAACCACCTTTTGCTTTACGTATTTCTTCAACAATTTCAATTGATGAATCATTTTTTTTAATTGATGTTGCTGATTGTGTTTGTCGTAATTTTATATATTTATTCAATGCTTCATTACCTAAATATTTTATTGTTAATTCGGTTGGTTTTGGTACTGGTACTGTAAACCAATCACCTTTAACACGTACAGATATTTTCATTATGATGATGAGGATTTGGAAAGAATTTTTCAAATGATTTTAACACGTCGATGACAGAATGAATGAATGAATGAATGAATGAAAAAAAAACGATAAAAGGAAAATCCCATTCCTATTTATATACTTGCGGTCGGCCAACAAACAAACAAGTTGCTAATCTAAATTCATTTCTTTTTTCATCATCTTTTTTATGAAAAAACGTCACCAATAATCATTATAATTATCACTTGATCAGATAAGTGGATAAATAAAATTTTGAAATTTGAAAAAAAATATTCAAGGTCAGAAAATCCATAATCAACCATAATGTTTTATATGGAATTTTTTTATTCTTATCATCATCATCATTTTTTTAAAATGTTGTTTTCTTTTTTTCTTCTCTGCCTGATTTTAAATAAAATCGTTCATATTTTCCATTAAATATTTTTTTTTATCGGTTCATCATGATTACCATTGAATTACTTTTTCAAAGTAAATTTCCATAAACAAGAAAATTCATTTACAACAACAACAGCAACACTAATAACTAACTAACTAACTATACCAAATGTTTGCTGTTATTTACAACAACCAAGATAATATTAATTTTAATCTTATGATTATTGTAAAATGATTGAAAAAAAAGATGGAATTTTTAAATTTAAAAAAAAGTTTTTTCACTAGAAATTTTCTTTTTTGAGTGCTTTGAATGAATTTTTTAAAATGATTTTCATCTTGATAATCACTGGTGGTGGTTTTCCCTGTGATCAGTACACACACACAGAAAAAAAAGAACAAAAATGGAATGTTAAAATGTTGTTTATCAAATGATGATTGAAAACAAAGCAACAACAAAAAATTATTTGGAAAATTTCCTAAAATTTGTAAATTTTCATTGAATCAAATAATACTTTACAAATGTTACATTGTTTGGCCGTTAGATGGCGATATGGATATCACATAAAGCAGAAGAAGAAGAAGAAGAAGAATTCTGGTTTGTTTTTGTTTTTTTTTTGGTGTGTAGCACATGTATATTGCTCATTTTTTATTGAAAAGATTAACTCTTTGGTCGTCGTTTTTTTGTTGTTTATAATTCTGATTTTTTTCTTTTATTAATCGTGATCGATGACAGTCATCATCATCATCTATAAGTAACATTGAAAAAATAGCAAAAATTTTTTATAATAAGGATTCGAACCAGCCAAGAAAATCCGACTACAACAACAACAACGAGCACAATTACAATTCGATAATAATGATAAACAACAACAACAGCAACAATAATAAGCTTAAAACATATAATCTACGTTTTGAAGCATTTATAACATCATCGAATAAAGCATTTATAACAACAACAAAAAATAATACTTCACATTCATGTTTTAAATTAATATTATTAATGGAAAATGGACAATATTATGAATTAAATATGTCATTAAAAATGTTAAATGAATTTGTTACAATTTTAACTGATACATTAAATAATCATACATAATGATTATAATTATAATGATTTTATAATTTACAAATTATAAATGAATAAATAAAAATGAAAATTTATTTATAAAAAAGATTGTTTACTATTTTTCTCTTCACTATTATCAATTAAATTGTATCCATAAATAATAAACATCATCGATCGGTCGATCAATCGATCATCGATTCAATTACTTATTATTATCGATATTTTTTTACTTTTTACTTTTTCATTTTTCATGACTTCAATGGATTTATAATAGATTTTTTTCCCCCTTCGCAAAATTCATTCTTTCAACGTTCAACATTCATTCTTTCAACCTAAATTCATTCACTCTTTGTTGTTTTAAATCGTTAATATCCCAATGAAAAAAGAAAACTACTTTACTACTTATATCGGCCAATCATCATCATCATTACTCATTTGAAAATATGATGATGTTATTGCAATCCAAATTTTTTTTACTAAAGAAAAAAAAATAATTTATGGATATATTGATCAGCCCATACAAGTTTTCTTTCATTGCACCTTATTCGAAAAAAAATACCACATTGATCTTTGGTTGTTTTCTGATCCCTTCTTTTCTTCTTTTCTTCCTTTCTGTTTCATACATTTCGACTATGAAAGGAATATAAAATAAGAAGCAGAAGGGAAAACAAAAAGAATTGAAAATTTGATGAAAAGAATATTCTATTGGCTATTGTTCTCTGCGACAATCACACAGAAAAGAAAAGAAAAGAATCGAAGACGACGGTGACGGTTATTCATTTATTTATTTTTTTTGCGTTAATCGAATGCGTAGAACATAAAACGGTAACAACGATTGGAAAAAAAAGAGAACCGAAGAAGAAGAAGAAAAAAAAGGTTAATAGCAAAAAAAAAATTGTCGATCTAATGGTTTCAACAACAAAAAAAAACAATAATAATAATCTTTAACACACGCCGTTGATAACAAGAACCGAACAGAACACATGGGCTTTAATCATAATCATTTCTTTCTTCGTTTTCGGTTGTTGTTGTTGTTGTTGTTGGATAGACAAAAATTAATAATATTTTATCATTATTATTGGATATTTTTCGATCCATTGTCAACAACAAGGATATAACAACAACAACAAATTCGGTATTTTTATTTATTTCTTTCTACGAAACCAAACAACAACAACAACAACCGAAAAAAAACATTGAAAACATCATCATTGAATATTAGCATCGTTGATAATGATAATAAATAAAAAGCCTAAATACAGAAGAAAAAAAAACTCATTTGTTTAAGAATGAAAATGACCCATGTCTAAAATAATACTGTGATTCATTTCATTTCATTTCAATAATTGATTATAATGTTTATGTACGAAGAATGCTTTTGCTTTTTAAACAATGGAACATGGATAAGAATGGAGAGGAAAGGGGGAATTTTTGTTTGAATTCTACCACCATTGACAGGTTCTTTTCTCTTTCGCTCTTTCGATCTTTCTCTATTTTTATTGAAATTCAATTTATTCACATTGAAAAAGTTGATGAATAAATAAATGAAATGAAAATTTTGAATTGAGAAAAACACAGCTGAAAATTGAAAATTTGAATTTGTGAAAAAAAAGACAAGAATTGAATGAAAAAGAGAAAGAAAAAAGTGTTGGGAATGAAAAAACAGTATTCTTAGATTCTAGAATCGACAAAACTTGAATTAATCTTTTCTCAGCCAGCCAGCCACACGCATTCAATATTGAAAATTCAAAAGATTTTCTCAGCCAACCAAGAAATGTTTCGGGGAAAAAAAGACAGCCACCAAAAAAAGTTTTACTTTTTTTGGACTGAAATAAAAAACATAAAATTAAACCAGAAAAAAAGTATTGCAAACGAACCAACCAAAAGAAGTAAAAATCGCCATAAGCCAAACAGAACAGGTGATGTATTGAAATTCTTGAATGAATGAATGAATGAATATCATCAGTAACGAACAACACTTGAAAACTTTTTTAGTTTTCAAATTTCTTTTAACCCTTCTTTACTCTTCTTTTTCTTTGTCTAACGAATTCATAATTGATCATTTTATCATCATCAATATAGAATCGACAGAAAAAACACAGAATCGAGAAGAAAGAAAAACTTTTGTAACCAAAAATAAATTCATTACAAAAGATAATGTTTTTTTTTCTTCATTCCATCATTTCTTTCTTTATGAAACAAAAAATCAATGAAGACGATATGGTCAAGTACCGTTTCCATCATCAACATTTTCGGTTCAAGTTTCATTCAACGATTCTTTCTTTGCTGCAGCAAAAAAAAATTGAAATAAAAATGTATTTATTTTTGTAATCATCATACACACAGACAGAAAATTCATTTATCATCACTCGATTCAATTCAATTCAATTCATAATGTTCACTTCAGTTGATTTTCTGTTTTTTCTGTTTTTTTTTTTTTGTTTGGTTTGGTTCGGGTCAATTGTCTTCTTCTGAAAAAGAAATTCTTGAAGAAAAAAAGATCCTGTTTGATTATTGACCGGGAAAAAAATATATATCTTTGAATTGAATTAATCAATATTGGTGATCTTGTCCATCATATTCGTTCAAACTTTTCGCTTTTCATCCACTGCCCTCTGGTGATACAAGAAAAATGAATTTTTTTTTTGTTTTGTTTTTCCTTTAGTGCACTTATAGTAAAAAAAAAACAGTAACCACAATAACCAACAAACAAGAAAAAGAAAAAGAAACACACTTGAAAAAAACAAAACCGAAAAGTTTATCAATCGATTGGAAAATTGTTCATCTTTTTTTTTGTTTCCAATCAATCGATAATCGAAAATAATGTTTTTGTCATCATCGTAGAGACCAAAACGCCCCAAAACAAAAATTATTTTTTCTTTAATATTTTAATTAATTTGAACATCAGCAACAACGAAAAAACAAGCAAAAATCTCCAAGATGAATCTTTGTTGTTTTTTTTGCTTGAATTACCCTATCATTAAGATGACAACAAACAAGCAAACAGCAAAGAATTCTTGCATAAAATAAGCCATTGATAGGTCATTCATTCGTTTCATTTTTATTCATAATGATTTTGTAATTATTATTATTTATTTATTCTGGCTAAAAGATTAAACCAAGCTTAAAAATTATTATCATTATTATTATAACATGAAACTATAACAAAAAACTAAAGATTAATTATAATTAGGATTCTCTCTCTCTCTCTCTCTCTCTCTCTCTCTCTCTCTCTCTCTCTC